ATGTCCTTCTGCTCCTCCATTAATAAGGGGAACCCTCGGGCACGTAAAAAGTTGCCTAATTCCGTCATTTTCCACCAATGTGTCACTGTCCCTGTCAAACAACTCACATCTTGTCAGTGAAGCTGAGTGCTCCACATCTCTTCCTTCGTGGTGCCCATCTACATTAAGATCCAAAATTCTGAGGAAAAAGTCAGAATTGACTTTTTTCCTATACTATGCTGAAATAAAATTAAAAAATCAGTTAACTTTTTTCTTTTTTTTTTTTTTCAGTGGCCCTAATCCTCTTCCTTAATAAAGCCTCCCAGTGTTTAGATACTTTTTATCCGAGTGAATTCAGTTTCCTTGGACGGTACCATCCAGTGCTGACATTTGAAATGCAGTAATGTTTTTACCCCCAGACCTGCACCTTTATCCTGGGTTGCAAATTAAACTTTATAAAGTTCTTTTCATACAATGAATGTAGTATAAAGTGCATTCCAGAGTAAAAAAAAAAAATCACCCCATTAACATCTGACATAGAATATACAGAATTCTTTATTGAAAAGCGAACATCAAAAACCAATTAAAGTTTGTATTTAAATATATGCTTAATACCAGTCTGCATTTCTCAGGGTTCATCCAAAAAAAGAGATCTGTGGTCAAAAACCGGTTTGAGTTGTGAATTTGATGACAGATATGTGGAGAAGGTACCCTGGGTAAAGGAAAAGTCCGCTCATATTCAGAGTACAAACTACTGAAGGTACTTTAAGTATGAAATTATTGCATCCTGTTCAATAAATACATGTTTTTAATTCAGAGTAATTTTCATGTGAATGTGCTTTACTGGAGGCATCCATGTTTGCCAAAGAACACTACTGCCACCTACTGGTTTGTGACGTCACGGTATCGGCTGTTGATCAAGTCCCAGTGCTGTATCTGGTGTTTGTCACAACAAGCTGTTATCCATGATGGCGACGACCAGCGCACTATGTGAAGCAGAGACTTTACGGAATAATGATGTGTTTTTTTTCTCTGGCCAGAAGTTCGATGGCAAATCCTCCCTCTTCAAGTTGGCAATCCAACGACGAACCCGTCCGTGGACGATCAGGAATCAGAAAGGTGAAATAACTTTTACCTGATGTATAACAACATCTAACTGCACGTGGGCATTGTCAGTTTCACTATAGCTC